GTGATCCAACAAGCGCAAGCACAAAAGCAAGCTTGTCAGCATTGCTTTCTCACCCTACCCCGCCGCTGACCAACGCCTCCTCGGCGGTGTCGTCTGAGCCTAACAGTGCCGGGCCGTCGGTGGGTGGCGGGTCGAATTCGGCGAATAGCTCGCCGAGGACGGCGCATGGTGGGGTTGGGAGGCCGCCGCAATTGCCGGCTATTCATGACTTTGCGAGGGTGGAGGCGGGGAGCATCGGGAAGCTGAACAGTAACTTTCGGGGGTAGGAACCAGGTGGGATGATATGGGTACAGACATGACGGATGGATGATGAAGGGTACGGGTTTCTTTTTGAGTTTTTGTGTGGTAGGTTACAAGGGTTGGGTACATTGAACGGTACAGAGCAATACGGGATGGGAAATGGATAAGGATAGGGAAGCAAAGAGGAGAATACCCCTGAAGCGAGAAAGCCAAGTTTTTAGTTTTTGTGCGTTTGAGTTTTAGGGACATACATGATGTGGCGTTTTTGAATTTCAACAGGGGGGGAAGAGAAGGGAATAATACCTGCATGGATGTGTGTTTTTTTGAGGTTTGAGTTGATGGTGATCAGGGGTGGGGGGGGGGAGATGATAGGGTTGTACATAACATGAAGGGGGAAAGGGAAGGGGTGTACATACATATGTTGGGGGAAGGGAATAGTTGTATGTAAACAACGGATAGTTAGTAAAATATGAGAGGAAGAAGAAGGAATAACCAGAAGGTTTGGATGATTAGAGTAACTTGGGTGTGGTGACATGCATGAGAGGGTACACTGATGAGGACAGCAGAAATCATGAAACCTTGTTCGCTGTGGACATATGCTCTATTAAACCACCACTTCGCTAAATCGTCTAAGAATAAAATCTTGCTCCCAGGTCTTGAACCCCTTTGTTACATACAGAAAATGCCTTGGTTTTTATCCATCCTTTACTTCCACACTCCATTACTGGCACCTGCTAACTTCCAAAGCATAAGACAGCTCCGCTCACTAACCATTGTCGGGCCCAGCCGCAAACCTGCTGACGTTCACGTCAGTCTCTCGCAGACCCTTGCCCCCAGCGCCTGCTGCCGTTGTTGTTGACGCTTCCTCGCGCGGTTGTCCCTCTGTGACTGTCGCTTGCTCGCGTGGCTGTCCCTCGATGGCTGTCGCTGTCGCTGTCGCTGTCGCCGTCGCTGTCCGCTCCGCTATCTTCGCTGGAGAGGCAGGAGGATCAAAAGGAGGCATAGGGGGCCTCCGAGGCAACTGCCGTGCTGGCTCGGGAGGTTGTGCCGGTCTATTTTCCCTCACTCCGGCTGGGCTGGGGAGGCTTCGGTCGGCGTGGCAGGGTTAGTAGGCGGAGTCGTCTGGTGCCTCCAGCTTCTTCAGCCAGACCCCCCCCCCCCAGTTTCCGACCTGCCCTGAGGTGACACCGATCGACTCGCGACTCTTCTCAGGGTTGAGAACGCCGCTTTTGATTCTCGAAGACATGGTCTTTTTCCCATGTTTGGGAAAGACCAATAAAAACGCCGGGCTTTGAAGCAAAATGCGTTGGTAGCTGAGATGGTTAAAAGACATTTCCGAATAACCAAGACCCGTGATAATTATACCTCAATGCCCTAATCGCAGTTTCCACCTCATTGTCAAGCATATTATGGGCTACAAAATAGGGGAACTTACACAGCTTAACCATATACGGTGTCGGAATGGTGCCTTGAAGGAAGGTCGCAATATCTCTTTCGGAGCTCCGCAGGGGTCTGCTTGAGAAGGTCGACATTGACCATCAGCATATGCTGCGGCCTCTCGGTCACCGAACTTCCTGAACTCTTCCTTGGGCTTCTTGGTGAGTGTGGCAGAGTTGTCCTCCCACCATTTCTCCAGCCCATCGATTGGCTCCAAATGATATTCAACTTTGTCCACTGGGAGGAAAGGGCCTAGGGATTGATTGCATCGGGGCGGCGAAAGTCGCTGAAACGATTGGAGGCACCGGCCCGCTTGGGGTCGTCCTTTTGAGTGCCAAATTCAACCTGCAAAGAGAATCCAGCCTCCTCCCTGGTTCTTGGGGAGATGGAGGGGACGCTATCAGCCCGCTCAAGAACCCACTCTCTCAAAGAGGGTAGAGCCGCCGGGTTTGACTCTAGGATTGACCTGCTGTTTTTTAAACCAAATCCTCTACAGTTTTGTCAAAAAGCGGTAGAATCCATGATTTCAGCGCCAGTGTTTTGGGTAAGAAGAACCGCGCACACTGGTCCGTGAGACTTGATTAATGCCTGGTTGAATAAGAGAGCGCTGAAGACTTCAAGAAAGTTCCGCCGAGGCCAAGTCTGATGATAATGATGATGATGATGATGATGACGATGATGATGACGATGATGATGATGATAGGAGAGGAAATTATTTTCGGTCCCCAAAGGTTCAGAGCGGCTGGGTTTTCAAGACGAACTGTTGGGCTCTACTTGCACCCATGACATGCATTGTTTGTCGTTGCCCATCTGACGTGGAATGCTCGCTTGGACTATCATGGCCTGTTTGTCCACTCAAAAAAAAAAAAAAAAAAAAAAAGAGGAATCATAAGGTGGGTAGCCAAGCTAAAGCCATCCTTACCTACGGTGCCAAAGCAATCAAGTCATAATGAACAACACACATCTGAAACTCACTGAATACGCTTTGACAAGGAGTCACAGAATGTTTCTGTCATACTAAGCTGGGCTTGTGAAAAGCATAGTTACCTACCAAGGGAGTCAGTAGTCCACCCAAAGATGCAGTTGTGCCGGCTTATGAAATTCGCATACTTGACAATCAATTTAGTACAACAGTCCGCATCTTGGTATCGAGCTACTTCTCTTCACACGCACAATCTCTCTTTTCCTGTTTAGCTGGTTCCAGTGTATGATCTATTGGCCATTCCATCAACTATACCCAACCCAGAGCCTAACGATACACACACATGCAGTAGAACCACCCAAGTGGTCAGCCAGAGCTTATTCCAGTCAAAATTAGGACCTAACTGGATAACCGGCAGGTCATGCTCTATCCCTTTGAATCTCCCATCTTCAAGAAACCGATCCGGCGGGCTATCCGGCCCAGCATCATAGGCCCCAGGCCCCCCAGCTAAAGCAGTCATGACAACCACCCACCACCGGATGCAAAACGCCATCATTATCTCCTTGACATGTTCCGAATCCACATCCACACACCACCTTTCCCCGGAAATAAAGCCTAATTCTTCCCCGACATGACCGCCATATGTCTTGGCCATTATCCCCCGCGATTTCTGTAGGTGCCCGATCGTCTCTCCAACAGCGTTTCGGTCTACCACAGGCATCCAAATGGAATTCGAGCATGATCCGCATCGTACTCTTCCCTGACCCTTGACGTTCCCCATCGTGAGCCATCCATCCGATTTGCACCCAAGCATCGATATGCGCAGAGACCCCGCTCCCAAAAGCTATGCAGCTTTGGATCCACCGCCACCATGTTCCAGTTGGCGTCATCTGGAATTGTTCTCTCAGAGGAGACAGAGAATAGCTTTCTCGCTACATCCCTTTCATCCCGAAACTAGTGCCGCCCTCCAGGTATTTCCCCGGATAGAAGAGCACATCCCCATAAAACGTCAAACACCGTTCAATCAAGATCTTGTTGCGAGCACTCTTCTGGTTTGATATCACGGGAATAATGCGGTGGTTTATCGTGTCCGACCTTTGAAATGATGTCGAGTGGTGTGAGGGTGGGCCTTGGTGCTTGTCAGGATTCTCAAGACGTGCAAGGTGGTGGTGGTGGTGGTGGCGGCGGGGTGGGTGACGTTTGTTGTTGTTGTCGCTGTTGTTGTTGTTGTTGTTGCTGTTGTTGTTGTTGTTGCTGAGGCCATCACGGAAGATTGGGTATTCACCAGTCTCCCCAGCAGGTCTTGAACACCACAGTTTCAGAAAATGCGGCACCAGAACCCCTCTGCGGCAAGATCCTCGGCACGCGAATTCTTTTGCCTGACGGCGAAAGCCAACGCGGCGTAGTCGGCTCTGAAAAGAGCCACCTTTTGCAAATTCCCAAACGGCCTCCAAACCTCCCTGCTTCTCCCCGGTCAACTGCTCATAGTTTTCTTCAAAAGACTCTTCAATGGGGTCGGTGTACCCGATTCGTTTGTCGAGTTGCTGGATTGGTGAAGGGAGAATGTCGGACTCCTGATCTGGCCGCAATTCTACCTGGTCGCGGATGCCCATGCCCTTGTTGCGCCGTGGTTTTGTACTTGGCGCCATCTCGGATGGACGGAATGAGAGAACAGGTTGCGATGAAGGTCGATCAAGCGTCTCAGTCTGCAAAGTAGCGAGGTTAGGTGGATTGCGTACAATCGAGGCCGAAATGTTGATGGGAAGCAGGGACAGAAAGAGAGAGTAGGAGATGAAGAAAGACAGAGTAGGAGACGGAGCAAAGTCAGAGGATGTCTTTGGGATTTACTAGGCATTGGTCGAAAGTCTAAATCTTGAATGAGTCATCGCTGTGTTGACTTTTCATCTTTGATTCCACAATAGGCGCAAGCCACTCAAGCCGATCCGAAAACATGAGTTGGTGTGGCAAACATGTCACCGCTCCAGCTGTGTGATTGCACCAACGCGTCACTCTTCCGCTGAGTTCTGGACAGTGGTGTAATGTATCTTTGTATGACTACCGATTGTTACTGGATTATGTTACAACAAAGACGGGGCCATCAATTTTCCCCTATCCTACCGTAGTCATGCCATGATACGCCGATACGTACTCACTGTTGCAGGGCCTTTTCTTGGTGACCAAATCAGCAGCAAAAGATCATGACACAGCACCCAAACCCCGGCCAACCTAGCCAGAGTAATGAAAGCCAGACCTATAAACCTCCCGAGCCTGTACGGCAGCTGCCTCAGAGGAGGGGTGTCTGAGTGAGACGGACTACAGCATATAAGATTTCCAAAAAGGAAGCAAAACATACAACACCAGGGATTCCCCAGTGGTCACCCACCTGAGTACTAGTCCGGCAGTCAGCTGTTTGACTAGGGGAGAGCGGACGGGATCCCGTATTTTCAGCTGCTTGTGGTCGTATGTGCTGACTGACATCGGAGCATGCCATCATCATGGAGTAACTAACAATCATCCCCAGCAGAGAGAAGAACACCAGGCCGGCAAAAAGTCAAACGGACTTAACAACACACAAGCCCAAACAAACCAACCATCCCAGTGTGTAACGAACAGAAAAAGTCATTTCATAAACACATCACAACTACACAAAGACAACACCCCTTTCCCATCCATGCAACATCATCATACCCAACCCATCCCATGCAAGCCACCCATCCATCTTGACCTAATCCAACCAAAATCCCACCCCCCCCCCCTTTACCTCGGCCGATGAGTCAAGTTACTACTCGCACTACTACTGCTCCCCAACCGCTCCGGCTCTTTCCCGCTCTCCTCCCTCCTCGCCATCCCCGGCCCAAACACCCTCGTCGTCTGCTCCGTCCCTCCCCTCTGGGACTGCGCCGGCTGCTGCGACGACTGTTGCAGCTGCTGCCGCCCCTTGACATACTCCTTATTCTCAATAGTAACACTCTTGGTCATGTGATTAACCTTGTAAACACCCACCAGCCTCGCCGCAAGCTCAAACATGTTGTTCCTCAGCGAGATAACAATAAACTGAGCATTCTTTGTGCGCTCCTTGATGTAATTCGCCACAATCGAGACCTGTATTACTGTTAGAACAAACTGTTGCGGAAGGGGAGGAGAGGAAGGAAAAACTCACGTTTCTGAAGTCCAACGCGGCATCAATCTCGTCCATGACATACAGCGGCGTAGGCTTGTAATGATGCAGCGCAAACACCAACGCAAGCGAAGAAAGCGTCTTCTCACCACCAGACAAGTTGGAGATGTTCTTCCATGATTTCTTGGGGGGCATGACCGAGAAGAGGATACCTTCCGAGAAGGGGTCGAGGGAGTCGACCAGCTCCAGCTCGGCGTTGCCGCCCATGGTGATCATCTGGTACATTTCCTTGAGACGGAGCGAGATGGTGGAGAAGCCCTCCATGAAGCCTTCCAGCCTCAGTCGGCGGAGGTCGTCACATCTCTTCTTGGCGGCATCCCTTTGAGCAACGGCAGAAGCCAAGTCCTGGGAGCGGGCGGCGTGCTCTTCTACTCTGCGCCTGTACTCAGCCAGGACACCAAGATCAACATTGACGTTCTGGGTCTTTTCCTCCAGAACGGCAATTTCGCCCTTGAGCGTCTTTTCTGACATGTCAGAGAGCTCATCGCGGGTGTAGCGTGGGAGCTCCAGTGGGTTGGAGGCAGGATTAGGACCGCGGCCGGAACCGAGGAAGGTGGCTTCCGCCTCGGCTTGGAGCTGGGCGGCAGGGTCTTCGTCGTCTGAGTCGGTGGCATCGCCCATGGGGGAGTCGCCCTCGGCGTCGAGCTCGGGTTCGCCTTCGGCATCCTCTTCCTCGTCTTCGTTACCTGGCGTCTTGGGCCGGGACTGGGGGGCCACAGGCTGGGAAGGTCGGCCGGACTCAAGATCCTCAATGTTTTGAAGCGAGAGCTTGGATAGCTTATTCTCCCAGTAGGCAAGCTGCCTTTGCGTCTCCTTGAGTACCTTTTGGTTCTCCTCGAGCTTGTTGCGCATTTCGATTTCGACGGCACGGGTGGCGTTCAACTCGGCGGCCTTCTTGTCAAGTTCGGCCTTGAGTGTGGAAAGTTCCTCCTTCTTGGCAGCAAGAGCTTCCTTGGCCTCCTCGACTCTGGTGGTGTAATCCTCAGCCTTAGTGCCCTGGTTCTCAATCTCCTCCTCGAGTCTCTCCAGGTCCCGATTGGCAGCCTCGAGCTCCTTGGAAGCCTTGGCGTGGTCCTTCTCGAGCTTGACCTTCTGCTTCTCAGCCTTGACCTTGCGGACCTCGGCGCTGGAGACCTCCTCGTTTTGGGAACGAATCTCTTCCTTGAGGTTGTCCACCTTGGTGCGCTGTTGCCGGAGCTTCTCACCACCAACCTCCATAATCTTGTCCTGCAGCTCTTTAATCTCATCCTCGACACTAGAAGTCTCGCCATGGAGCTTCTCAATCTCCTTGTTAAGCTTGGCGATCTCCTTTCGCAAGACGGCAACCCGGTTGTCGTCTGTCTGGGAAGGCTGGTGCTCCTTGCTGAGTTCCTTAACTCTGCGCTGAGCATCCGCCAAGTTCCTGGATGAACTCTCAATCTCGAGGTTGATCTTCTGCATCTTGGTGTCAAGCTGTGGGATCTGCTCCTTGAGGGAACGAAGACGAGCCTCCAGCTCACGTTGATGATCTTGGAACTCTTGGAATCTCTGCTCAAAGGCATCGCGATCAGCCTCCATCTTATCCACCTGCTCCTTGCTGATCTCGGCCACCAGCTTGGACGACATCAATCCCTTCTTGACTGTCGTACCACCACCAGACATGGTACCAGATTTGTCAATCAGCTCGCCGGCCAGAGTGACAACACGCCATCTCTTGACGCCATAGGCGATGCGGTTGGCCTGGGCAAGATCTTCCGCAACCAATGTATCTTGGAGCGCATGGTAGAAAGCAGGTCTGAACTTCTCATCCTTGGGCTGAACCAGGTCAAACAGACGGGGCGCATCCTCGGGAGTCTTGATGGGTGAGTAGTCACGGACTCTCAGCTTGTCCAAGCACATAAAGTTGCCGCGACCCAAGTTGGTCTTGCGCAAGTGCTCGATGCACTGCTGACCAGCCTCGACAGTGTCCGTGACAAAGTTGTCGAGCTGACCGCAAGCCGTCGAGATGGCAACGTCGTACTTCTTGTCGATGGCACCGAGGTTGCCAAGCCGCCCGTGGAAGCCGTCAATGCGACCAGACTCCTTCATGCGCATAAGCGCCGTTAGGACATTGCCTTGCGTCTTGGTAGCCGAAAAGCTTGAGCGAGCCTCGTCCGCCTTTTGCCGCAGGTTAGACAGCTTAGCGCGGAACTTTGGCTCTTCCTGAGCAAGCTCCTCCAGCTCAGCAACCACTCTTCTGCCCTCCTTCTTGAGCGCATCCTTCTCAGCCTGGCACGCCTTGAACTCTTCCGCCTTGGCCGCCTGAAGTTCCTGAATGGCCACGATCTTGGCCTCCATCTCCTCAAGCGCAACACCACCAGCCTTGGCCTTTTCCTCCAAGATGGCCAACTCACTTTCCGCCACGGCGATAGCAGATTGCTTCTGGTTGATCTTCTCCTTCCAGGGCTCAAGCGACTTTTGCTTCGCCGCAATCTGATCGGACATGTGCTGAGTCTTGCCCTTGAGGCTGTCGCGGATCTTGGTCAGCTCTTCCTCCTCCTCCTTGATCCACCTTTCGATGTTCTCGATCTCAGCCGCACGCCTCTCGATATCCTCAGCGCATTCCTGAATGGTCTGGTCGGCCTGCTCTGCCGAGTTCTCAGAGTTGGCAATGGTCTTCTCAAGCTTCTTACGCTTATCGGCCAAGAACTTCCGCTTCTCCTCGAACTTGACGCGCTCCTGCTCAAACTTGGCCATCTCCTTGATCAGGGCCTGAGTTTCCTTTTCTTGAGCCTCATACTCCTTGTTGCCCTTGGCGTGAGCCTTCTCCAGCTGCTTGATGATCTGCTCGCTGCCGTTGTGCTTCTCGAGCTCGGCGTTGAGTTGTTCCTGCATCTGACTGATGGCTTCGTCTGTAACAGCTAGGTTATCCTCGCATTGGCTGATGTAGAGTTGGTACAAAGCGGACTGCTTCATGGCAAGCTCATTTTCATCACGAATGAAAGCCAAAGCCTTGTTCTTCTTGTCCTCGAGGCTCTGCTTCTCCTTCTCAACGTGTTGAACACGACCGCTCTTTTCCAAGCAGATTTCATTGAGTGTCTCGACCTCGGCGGCTGATTCCTCAATAGGTGTCTTGTACTTGGATGTGCCAATGATGTCCTCAAGATACTCGAGAAGACCATCATCGTGCTCGTTGGCAGCCTTGGCCTTCATCTGCGCAATAGACTCGACTTCACCCTGCAGAATCAAGAAACGCTTGTGGTCGAGATCGACCCCGCGGTCCCGGAGCAATGTTGTGACAGTTGTGAAGTTGGAGGTCTTTCCGTTGATGTAGTAGGCGCTGGAGTTGTTTCTGAAGGCCTTGCGGGAAATGACCAGGTCTGAGTCTGGGATGACTTCGTGACCTCCGCCAGGAAGGTCCATCACCTCACGGAAGTGCACCGCGACCTCGCAGTACTCCAGATTCGGGTACTTTGCCGAGTTGTGAATGAGGGCCGAGATCTTGCCTTGTCTCATCTTGCTTGCCCTGAAACCAAACACGAACAGCAGGGAGTCGATGACGTTGGACTTGCCCGAACCGTTGGGACCGACAACCGAGGAGAATGAAGCATGGAAAGGCCCGACCTCCTGCTTGCCGGCATAACTCTTGAAGTTGGTGAGCACAAGATAAGTGATGACAATGCGCGGCTTTGGGCCGGTATCTTGAATCACGGGGATCTGCATTGTGCGCGACTTCAGCATGATATCCATTGGCTTCTCGAGCACTGTATCCATGGGCTTGATCGGTTTGATGGGCGCAATCACGGTATCGTCTTGTTGTGAACTCAGCGTGGCATTATTGGTCGCAGAAGTGATATCGGTAAGCGGGGGGGCATCGCGTAGGAGCTGTGCTGATGGCGACACAGATGGCTTTGGAGATTGGGTGGGAGCGTTCAATTCAGGCGCCGGCGTGGGGGTCTTGCTTGCACGGGGCGCGACACTCTTTCGTGGTCTTCCAGCGGGCTTCTTTGCTGTGGATGGTGGTGGTCCAACAGTGTCGTCGGCTGCCGCGACAGGCTTCTTCACTGTCGATGGTGGGGGCCCAACTGAGGTATCGTCGACGTCAACAGCTGATGATGCACCCGCTACGCTGGCGAGCGACTGGTCGGGATCTACATTCTCGGTACTCTCGATAACAGGCGGTGCGGAAGGGGGGGGGGCCGCAGGCGCAAGACTCTTCTTTGGGCGTCCTCTGGTTTTCCTCACTGGTGTCTCGGCGGGTGCAGCTGGTGCAAGTTCGGTAGTGGTGGTCCTCCTCCGACCTGGTCTTTTCTTCTCGACCGGTGCCGGTGTGTATTCCTCCTCCTCCTCTTCCTGCTTCACTTTTGGGGACCCGTCGCCCAGCTCGTCCTCTGAACTCTCGACAATGGTGGTGTTGCGCCGGGTCGCAATCCGGCGGGACTGTCGCGTCGACATATTTGCGGTGTGTGTGCTACAAACGTCCAAAAGAAATCAAGAAAACCAACAACAAACAGCGCAACAGATCGCTGCGCAAAGGCAAGATACACAAAGGGCCTGGCAGATCTCCCACGCAACAAAACCACAAAACGCGCTGGTGGTCGTCGTCGAGTTTTTGTCGAGTCGTTTCAGTCCAAAAGTCGCTGCGACAAATCCCAGAGCTCAGGCCCCGCTTTCCCCAGTTGTCGTCTGTTGACATTGATTGATTGTAAACAAATCACAAGCCACGTCTGCCCCCGCCAAAAACCACTAGCCACTAGACACCAGCCACGATTGACTGGTCGAACGCGTTCTTATCGCGCGTCTGAATTGACCATCTCGAAAACACGCTATCCCGTGACAGTTTTCCGCTTAACGGCATTATCAGCTCCACCGCACCCCGTTAGACAAGCTAAACCAAGCTTCTTTTTCCTCTAATTCATGGATCAATCGGGTCGGGTCGCACGTCGTCACATCTGAAGCTTCATCAAGCTTTTGAAGCCTTCCTCTGTTTACATTCCCCCAAACCCAACCCATCAACATCACACCCCCCATAACTACCGCCAAAATGAACATGCTCGACTTCACCCACTTCAACGCCGCCTTCCCAACTGACGGCCCATCCCCCTACGACCCAACCTTTTCCCGCCAAATCGAAACCTTTCGCAAATCCTTCGACGGCGTCCTCTTCATCGATCGAGTCCTCCACCGCCTAGGTATCAAAGATGGTTTGTTCCCCTCCCCTTCCCGCCATCCCGCAAGATACTAA